ATAATTCAAATTATTTGTTCCAAAGCATGTTATTTTACACTTGTCAAGGAATTTTCATCTACAGTTGTGCTCCCCATTCACCTAACTTTATTCTGTCTTCTCTGAAGTTCCTCTCTTGTCAAGTCTTAATTGAAATAACTATGCCATCTGTAAGTTTTTCCACCTCACTGTTCACACTGCTTTCCAGATCTTTAGTACATTAAACATCAGCCCTACTATGGAACACTAGGGTACTTTTTGTCATGTTAGAAATTGATCCTTTATTCCTACTATTTATTTCTAACTTTTGAGTTGCTTCCAATCCACTAAAGTTTTTAAGTAGTCAGGGGGTGAGATGTAGTTTCCTTAGTAATCTCTTATAAGGAATTTTGACAAAGAGGCATAACTACAGTTGTTCTTTATCCACTATTTGTTTGACAAACTCAAAGAATTTTAGTAAATTAAAACCAATTTTCCTTTAGAAAAGATGTATTGATTGATTTGTCCCTACTGTCTCATGCTCACCTGTTTTATAATTCTATTTTAAAATTATAATTACAATCAAATTTTTTGCTACTGAAGTAAGCTTCACTAGGTCTGTAATTCCCAGGATTTGCCCATGTGCCTTTTTTTTAGTTTTTTAAAGATATGTACATTTGATATCCTCCAGTACTCTGCAATATTAGCTGATTTTAGTCACAGACTGCATATTTGTATTAGCAGTTCAGCAACTTCATTCTCAAATTCATTCAGAATACATGGGAAAAATACCATACAGTCAAGGTGACTTGTTGCTCTTTAATCAATTTATTCCAGTGTCTCCTTTTCTGACTCAGTCACTAACAATGCTATCTTTATTGTCTGAAAATCAGTAAGTCCAGTATGGGTGACCCACTAATATTCTATGGGTGAAGAATGATGTGAAAATGTTAGCTTTTCTGCAAGGTCCTTGATCTCCATAATTGTCCCTCAACTCACCAGTCCTCTTGCAATGTTCTTACTTCTAGTATTCAGAAAGTTCTTGATATTTGCTTTGTGTCTGACTAGACTGGACGTCTAAGATAGTGAATGCCAGTGATAATAAGGTAGGATCAGAGTCTAAAATAAGGAAAGAACAAGTCAAAAAATTACTTAGATGTCTTCATATCACCAGGGCCTGATGAAATGCATCCTAGAATACTCAGGAAGTTGACTGAGGAAATATCTGAGCCATTAGCAATTATCTTTGAAAAGTCATGGAAGACAGGAGACATTCCAGAAGACTGGAAAAGTGCAAATATAGTGCCCATCTATAAAAAGGGAAATAAGGACAGCCCGGGGAATTACAGACCAGTCAGCTTAACTTCTGTACCCAGAAAGATAATGGAGCAAATAATTAAGCAATCAATTTGCAAACACCTAAAAGATAATAAGGTGATAAATAACAGTCAGCATGGATTTGTCAAGAACAAATGTCAAACCAACCTGACAGCTTTATTTGACAGGGTAACAAGCCTTGTGGAAAGGGAGGAAGTGGCAGATGTGGTATATCTTGACTTTAGTAAGGCTTTTGATACTGTCTTTCATGACCTTCTCATAAAAAAAACTAGGGAAATGCAACCTAGATGGAGCTACTAGAAGGTGGGTGCATAACTGGTTGGAAAATCATTCCCAGAGAGTAGTTATCAGTGGTTCACAGTCATGCTGGAAAGGCATAATGAGTGGGGTCCCGCAGGGATCGGTTCTGGGTCCGGTTCTGTTCAGTATCTTCATCAATGATTTAGATAATGACATAGAGAGTACACTTATAAAGTCTGCGGAGGATACCAAGGTGGGAGGGGTTGCAAGTGCTTTGGAGGATAGGATTAAAATTCAAAATGATCTGGAGAAATGGTCTGAAGTAAAAAGAGGATGAAATTCAATAAGGACAAATGCAAAGTACTCCACTTAGGAAGGAACAATCAGTTGCACTCATACAAAATGGGAAATGACTGCCTAGGAAGGAATACTGCAGAAAGGGATCTGGGGGTCATAGTGGATCACAAGCTAAATATAAGTCAACAGTGTAACCCTGTTGCAAAAAAAAAAAAGCAAACATCATTCAGGGATGTATTAGCAGGAGTATTGTAAGCAAGACAAGAAGTAATTCTTCCGCTCTACTCCATGCTGATTAGGCCATAACTAGAGTATTGTGTCCAGTTCTGGGCGCCACATTTCAGGAAAGATGAGGACAAATTGGAGAAAGTCCAGAGAAGAGCAACAAAAATTATTAGAGGTCTAGCAAACATGACCTATGAGGGAAGATTGATTGTTACAAGGAAGAGGGAGAAAAATTGTTCTTCTTAACTTTCGAAGATAGGACAAGAAGCAATGGGCTTAAATTGCAGCAAGGGTGATTTAGGTTGGACATTAGGAAAAACTTCCTGTCAGAGTGGTTAAGCACTGGAATAAATTGCCTAGGAAGGTTGTGGAATCTCCATCATTGGGGATTTTTAAGAGCAGGTTGGACAAACACCTGTCAGGGATGGTCTAAATTAGGGGTTTTCAAACTGGGGGTCAGGACCCCTCAGGGGGTCGCAAGGTTATTACATAGGGGGTTGCAAGCTGTCGGCCTCCACTCCAAACCCCGCTTTGCCTCCAGCATTTATAATGGTGTTAAATATATTAAAAAGTGTTTTTAATGTATAAGGGGAGACGCACTCAGAGGCTTGCTTTGTGAAAGAGGTCACCAGTACAAAAGTCTGAGAACCCCTAGTCTAGATAATACTTAGTCCTGCCTTAAGTGCAGGAGACTGGACTAGATGACCGCTCGAGGTCCCTTCCAGTTCTATGATTCTATGAAAATTTCTCCCAAGTTTGCTAGTTTCCATTTTGTATTTTACCTGTAATAGTTTGTGCTCCTTTCTACTGGCTTCACTTGAGCTGGGTTTCCACTTTCTGCAACTTGAACCTTACCGTTTTTATCCATACTGCTTATTTTCTTTCCTTCCTGCTTCTTTTTTTATTTAGGCATATTCATACATTCTGTGACTCAGCTACAGTATGCTTAAGTAATCCATACTGAACCTAAGGATTTTAATTTCCTCATTTTGGATTTCAGTCATTTTTACTAACATCATTTCTATGCAGTCCTTCTTTCCAAACATGTCAAAACATCCACCCCTTTCATCTCTCACACAAACGTGCTGATTTTTCCTAACCTATGCATGTAGAAAGGAATGGTAATTAAATACTTTCAAAGTCTGCATATTTTAGCTTTTAGATGTACCAGGTCTGTTGGAACCTCACTCTGAGTGCTGGCTCTTTACAAGATGGTAAATATGAATGTAATTCCTGTCTTCACATACCCACCCCAAAAGCAGCTGTTCTGTGTGCATTGTGGCCCACAAAGAACACACTGCAACTTTTAAGGCATACAGAACAGCACTAGGGAAGTCTACTGATCTGTTCTTTCATGGCAATTTCCTATTTTTCTAGACTATCAAAGAAGGAAAACAGTGAAAATGGCAGAACACAAAAGGAGATATTGCTCAGTTATATAGGTTAGAAAAGTATTACTGCTCCCAAGCAATTAAAAGTGAATAAGTAAAATAAACTTCCCCTTTATGGCTCTTTATGATTCATAAAACAAAATATTTTCAAGAATTGGGGTTTTTTGGAGCTCTTTTTAAAACACATTAGGTATAGAATGTTTACATTTACCGTTCTTTCCTGGATGAGCGTGGCAATACTCTGAAGAACTAGTGTTATTACACAAAGCTAATCTGAGCTGCATCTCTCTCTGCTCCTCGGATGGGGGAGAAGATATGCCAATTCTTACTTGTTTAAGAATAGCTTAATACATAAATACACACACACAGACTGTATCACCTTGCAAAACTGTAATAAAATTCAGTCAGCCTAGGCACACAATCTAGTTGCCCACCCTTTACCACAAAGCCAAAGATGATGGGGAAAAAGCTATTATGTTATCACACATTCAAAATAATTACTTGCCTCAAGTGGGCAAATAGAATATTGCGAGAGACTTGATTTATATTTTAGTAATATATTAAATATAATATTTTATACAATACAAAGAAGCAGGTACTGACAAGAGTGGTTTTGCTGTGCAATTAATATTACAGGAAAGAGAAAGGAGGGAGAATAAAAACAAAACCAAGAAATAAAATGAAAAGAGAAATTAAGGTAAAGAAGAAGAGCAAATGGATGAGAACAATAAAGATAACCGAACTTTTAGGTTGGTAAAAATTTTTGTTTTATTCATTTTCCTACATTTTACTGCATTTCCTTGGAACATATCCCACAACCCTGGGGTTTGGGAAGATAAAGAAATTGCCAGTGAACCTTTTAACTTGCCGAACTCAGGTTCATAGAAAAGAACATTTTGTTTTCTGAATTTCAAGAGTAAATGTTTAACGAGAGAAATTAGAAAGCTGTAGCAGTTACACATTTGGAGGTAGGTGTCTGCTATTTGAAGCTTTGTGGGTAACTACATTTCATTATCTACAAAAGAATCAGGTAGTAACCTATTGTATAATGTTAAGTTTAAACAAGAGGTACCCCTTGTTTAGTTCTACTACTTACGTGTTTATAGTGTTGATAATACAAGTTTTTACCTGCAAGTGTAACAAGTAAGATTGTGTGCAAGAGCCATGTTACTTTTCATTAGGTCTGTTATAATTTGGTCTTTTATCAAACTAAAACAGTTGGCTACCATCTGATTTCAGATCTAACGAGTGATACTTGTTAGTGTTCCTGGAAAAAAACTAGACACATACTTTGAAAAGTAATGCTTATTTACTTTAACCAAACAACTTTTTAATGAACACTTAAAGTATTACAATAGAATAATTAAACTGATATATGTTTAACTGCTCAAACAAAGAACTGAATGGTTTACATTATGGAAAACTATATGCTTTGAAGCTATAATTGATACAGAAAGACACGCTTAACCCACGTATAGCTTTCTGAAAGATTTGGATATAAGAAAAAACATAAGAAGTTTTTGAATGAAAAAAAAAAAAAAAGCTACCTACCGAATGATCTACATGAATGCTATCTCCTGTGGGCCAGCGATGTTTGCTGGAGTAGCCACTCAGCTGCTCACCAGCCTGCCTCTGGAAGAAATATCCAACTGTGGCATCATCCTGAGACCGTCCACTGAGGGGTACCTGGACATTGAAAGCACCTGACACTGCAGCTGTAGGGATGGTGTGAGGATTGTTTCCACCTGAACTGGGCCCTGAAGTTCCAGGCCCTGGCCCTGCTGTTGCTCCACCTACTGTTCCAGCTGGGGCAACCCCTATTCCAACCCCACTGGCTTCCTGACCAATGTTCGCATGCATCATTCCTCTGGTCTCCTGCCAGGCCACTTCATTCATGCCTAGGAGGACACATGGAATGCTCATTCCACGTAGAAACCTAAAAAGAAAAAGTCTTGATAACATAAAAGGCTTTCCAATGAATGTCTTTAAATATGCAGTTCTTATAATTAGGATTTCAAAAAAAATCCAGACTATATAAGAACAGTGTTCTCTGTTAAAGATGTTGGCTTAAGCTTTTTCTATTTAATTAATTTAAAGTACTGTTATTGACCTAAGATGGCAGGGTTGTCTGAGACAATACATAGTATGGAACCAAACATACTAATGTAACTATCCTTGATCAAAATATAATTTCAGATCTTGAACTTAGTGACTTTTTTTTAACAATATCAATTGACACGTACATTCCTTCATATTAGGTCCTACAACTTCTGCTACCAACTTTGTTTTTCATAGCCTACAGGCACTTTCACCTAAGTAGTATGGAAGGCTAACTCCTAAATATCAATGCAGATATGTCACAAGTGAAAAATGTTCAGTGTTGTTCTGGTTGTGCAATATTTTAATATCAAATTTCATATTAAAAACACCTATGACCAAACTGGTAGTATATTTTGACCTTCCACTGACCACAATTTTAATCTGAACCTGAAATCTTTCATCAGTCTGCCAACTGTCTTTTTGGCTTGAAATAAGTGTAACTGACAATCACACACTTATTGATAAAAGACTGAAAATACTCATGATGAAGTGGACAAAGTAGAAATCACAAATTCCAAAAAATGCATGATCACGTTGCCCCTTCAGAGATTTTGGCAATAAAAACCACAGGAGAGTCCATTCTTAATCTGGTAGAATGGATTCTCCTATGTTTTTATTGCCAAAATCTCTGATGGGGGCAACGTGATCATGCATTTTTTTGACTTTGTGATTTCTACTTTGTCCATTTCATCAGGTGTATTGTCAATCTTACAGCAATAAGTGACATGAAATTCAGAGAGACCAGGAGCAGTACACAGACATAAGACAAAAATATCCTACAAAGTAATAATTTATGGCACCTGCAAAAATGGACAGAGTTATTTTTGTTTTAAAGTACAGTCTGGAAACTTTACAATAAGTTTCATACCTTCCGTAATCACTTAAGAGGAACAGTATAAAACCTGAATGGAAAAAACTCATATGCAGAAAGCTCCTCACCCAGAATGGAGTTTCTAAGCGTAAAATGGTGTACAATAAGAGATCATGATCCCTTCTAATTCCTCTGTACATAAATATATTTTATTTCCAGTGTTAACACCTCGTCCATGTACAATCATCATCATAAAAAAAAATGATACCATACTGTGGAATTGAGGTTTTTGCTATAACTCTGAATATGCATTGTTTTATCGGCATTGTTGGACAAAATGCTACTTAGATGTAGTTTTATTATTACAACAATATCTGTTTACTTCACTGAAATGGCATTCCACAAACATGGTATGAATTCTGTGACTTCTTCAAACTCAACAGTATGACAAACCCCTCAATGCAATATTCACAGAACAAAGAATTTCGCAATATATACTATACTGGAAAGGTAATCATGCATTAACAATAGTATGCCTAAAAATTATGAATGTGATATAAAATGTGTAAGTTTTATTTTTCTTAACGAACATTCACAAAATTCATTTCAAGTGGCTCTGTGCTAAAATGTATACTGTGAAAATTTAATATTTGCATAATATGGCTCCAAGAAACTAAATACACATGCATAGTAGCCTCTCTTTGAACCTCAGTATCACTTTTTTCCCTTTTAAAAAACTAGCAGGCTTTAGTCCACTTTATATATAAATAGTATACAAAACTTTAAAGCAAGTAACCAAATTAAAAAAAGTAGTTTGGTACACTTATAACTGAAAAATTTATGCTCATATCAATGTTGAGTGAGCAAGCTCACATTTAATAAGTAGTTTCTGGACTGAGATTTTCTATGTCAACCTTTACCATCTCCTTGTTCCCCTCTCCCCACACAAAGAGAAAAATCAAAGATTTATGACACATGTAAGCCCATAGAGAGTTACAATGGGAACACAAAGCCAGTCAGTGCAGTAATTTGTATCTGTCCATTTCTTCAATACCTTCTCTAGCACTGGCTAAGTGAGAAGTAATTTACCTTTACCAGAACTGGTCAAATTGTAGACGTACAGTTAGGCCTTGATTTACACAGTGGTTACATTCTTGAAAAAACACTGTGCAAATAGAAAATTGCTTTAAAAGATACCAAGGGTCTATGGGAAATAAGGGTTTAGGTTCCAGGCTGACAAGATGACCTCCCTAATTTATCCAATACAGGTTTTAAAATTAATTTTTTTTAATTAAATTGCTATTAACCTTTACTGATGTTAAGGATGAACTTGATATGATGATAATGCTGATGTCGTTGAAGTCAGAACGCCAAGGGTTCATCTGGGGAGGCCAGGGAGTGTGGAGCAGTAGCGTAGCCAGGTCAGGACACTTGGGTGGGAGGACATGACGGGAGCGGGGAAGCAAGAGTGCCGGGTGTAGTGGGGTAAGCCCCCGCGCCCCGACACTGTTCCCCAGCAGGAGCACTGGGTGAGTGGGGTAAGCCCCTGCGCCCCAACCCCATTCACCGGCAGAAGCGCTGGGCGGAGCTAGGCGAGCCTCTGACCCCGCTTCCCGGCAGGAGTGTCAGGTGGAGCAGGGGAAGCCCCTGCACCCCGATCCCACTCCCCAGGGCCACCCCTGGGATTGCCAGTGCCCTAGACAGAGTGTCTATCGCCCCCCGCAAGACCAGCTGGAGGAGGTGAGGGGAGGCAGCCTCCCCTCCCCCACCCCCATCATTGCCCACACAGCGGAAGTCGAGGCCCACCCAAGTGTCCCGTCCTGGCTACGCCATTGACCTGCGCATCTTGGTGACAGCGCCTCATGGTATAAAAGTGAATCCATACCATGTACAAAAATAAAGGGTCACAATTAATTGATTGTGCATAACTGAAATTGTGCAAAAAAAATACTGTGTAAATCGAGGCCCGACTGTACAGGCCTCGATTTACATGGGGTTTTTTTTGCAGTTTCAGTTATGCACGGTCAATTAGCTGTGACCCCATCCCTCCTGCCTTCCCTCCCACGTCACACCCACCCACCCACACGTCCTGGCTATGCCACTGCTCCACACTCCCTGGCCTCCCCAGACACCCCAGATGAACCCTCGGAGTTCTGATTTCAACAACATCAGCATTATCATCATATCAAGTTCATCCTTAACATCAGTCAAGGTTAATAGCAAGTTTAAATTTCATTAATTTTTTTTTTAATTTAAAACCTGTATTGGATAAAGTATGGAGGTCATCTTGTGAGCCTGGAACCTAAACCCTTATTTCCCATAGACCCTTGGTATCTTTTGAAGTGATTTCTATTTGCACCGTGTTTTTTCAAGAATGTAACCACCGTGTAAATTGAGGCCCGACTGTATTTGGAAATATTTGATGAAATTGTCAAAATTTTCAACAGATTACCAACTCCAATTTGTAAGGAAAAATCACAGTCTCATATATGTTGATTAAAATATATCTGTGCTACAATATGTGATATTAATATGACCATCTATATTTAGGGCCCTACCAAATTCACAGCGCATTTTGGTCAATTTCACAGTCATAGGATTTTAAAAATCCTAAATTTCATGATTTCAGCTATTTAAATCTGAAATGTCACTGTGTTGTAATTGTAGGGGCCTGACCCAAAAAGGAGTTGTGGGGGGGGTTTGCAAGGTTATTGTGTGTGTGTGTGGGGGGGGGGGGTTTGTGGTACTGCTACCCTTATTTCTGCTCTGCTGCAGGCAGTGATGCTGCCTTCAGAGCTGGGCAGCTAGAGAGCAGCGACTGCTGGCTGGGAGCCCAGCTTTGAAGGCAGAGCCGCCACCAGCAGTAGCGCAGAAGTAAGGAAGGCACGGTATGGTACTGCCACCCTTACTTCTGCACTGCTGCCTGCAGAGCTGGTTCCTCAGTCAGCAGCTGCCACTCTCCGGCCGCTCAGCTCTGAAGGTAGCAGCGCAGAAGTAGGGGTGGCAATACCGCAACCCCCTCTAAAATAACCTTGTGATACCCCTGCAACTCCCTTTTGGGTCAGGACCCCCAATTTGAGAAATGCTGGTCTCCCCCATTAAATCTGTACAGTAGAGGGTAAGAGCACACAGAAGACCAGACTTCACGGGAGGCAACCAGATTTCATGGTCTGCGACACAGTTTTCATGGCCGTCAATTTGGTAGGACCCTATCTATATTGTGTCCAAGTCACAATATTTTGTTTTGGATGTATTCTTGCAAATTCTATTTGATAAGAGTCCTGCACATATCTATGGATTCAATAATTTTGCAGCTGCTGCATTTCAGAGAGCTTTATATTCCTCTCTCAACACCCAGGATGGTCATCTCATAACTTTCACAGGACCATGTCTCCAACATGTACATATTAGCTCTCCAAGAGCCACTTCCAGAATGGATAATTCATCGGGGCCTAAATATCAACTGATAGATAACAAAATGGACACCTTAATTATACTTCTACAGATAAGACCTGGTTTTGATTCATCAACTAGATATTCTCACACTCCAGACTGAGAAATACTGCCAACTGATCTAGAAGTATGGTAATACTGACAAATTCTGAAGGGGACATAAAAAAGGCCCCCTGTAAAATAAAAAAGTCTCAAGCTATTAGCAGAAAGGAAAGATTTTATACATACCTATTCGGAATCAGAGAACCTGAGTATACTTTATGTGATCTGAAGGTATTTTTTATAAACATACAGCTGCATAGTATTTCTACTATATTACCAGGAAGTGCCTTGAAACATTGTTATTAAAGGCACTATGCAAACTTAACTTGATGTTACAGGAGGAGAAAACAAGACTTTCAGTGATGGACTTCTTATTCCATTTCACAGAGCTTGGGTATTGGCTTAGTGACAATGCTGGAACTGTTCCATTGTGTGGAGTAAGCAAGAAAATAGTTGTGTTATGGGTGGAAAAACTTCACCCTGGATGAGGGAAGCATTTTTCAACTACATTTTTTTTTTTTTTTTTTTTTTAAGAGAACAGAAGCAGAAAGAGCAACTAATATATCTCATGCCTATGAACACAGCTTATACAACCCAACTAGTATCTATATGACCTATCCATCACACTTTCTTATATGGTCACTTTAGCAGTTTTCATTTAGAAATGAAAGGTCTGTTTTCTTCCCCTAAGAAAATATAAGTGCCAATATCTTTGTTACATTTAAAAAGTGATATTGCAGACTTCCTCACCACCTCATGCCTCAGCATTAACACCAAGAATAATATTTAGGAATTTTTACTGCAATCGAGAATGACACTCTACATAATCCTGTACACCAGAAAGAAGGCATCAATGTATGTGAATAGGAATAATGAAAGTTAACCATTGCCCATCTAACAACTTATGTTCTTAAGAATGGCCATACGGGGTCAGACCAATGGTTCACCTATAGCCCAGTATCCTGTCTTCCGACAGTGGCCAGTGCCAGACACTTCAGAGGAAACGAACAGAACAAGGAAATTATCAAGTGAACCATCCCATGTCATCCAGTCCCAGCTTTTGGGATCTCTTAACATTTCAGAAACAACCGTATAAAGCAGAGACTTGAGTTCTCAAGATAAAGCATTTTAGAAAGTTCTGTACACACATTATTAGTACACACATACATGCACACCTAGACAAGGGGAAAATTGGACAAGAGTAAAACAGGAAAAATGCTACTAAGTTAACTTGAAAACCTGGGAATGAGTCTAACTCCCTGCTAATGCTGTCCCCCAATATGTCCAGAATCTCTCTCGCACAACTAAACAAATGGGAAAGAAGTTACTTATTGTGTAATATACTACAATCAGGCAACAAACACCAATCTTAAATATATATTGCAACCCTACGTTTTCCCCCAGGACAAGGAAAAATGATCTTTTCTCTCTACCAATGAAAATGTATTAGCAATAATAGATTTCACTGCAGTTAACATTTAAGGGAAGTCAATTGTACTCTTCCTGGTCAAACGCCTCCAAATTTTTGCACTACTGATATCCATTGTAATGTCTAACTGTTTCTCACTTTTCATTATTGCAATTGCCTAGCCACCATTCTATTGCTTCCCTTCCCCCCAAAAACAGAAAGAAAAATTATAAAGATTAAAATAGCACATGTATACACATACATGATATTCATGCAATAAATTGAAGAACCATGCGATAAAATTGCATTTACCAAGCACCTCCTTACCTGCGTTTGCCCATTAGGTATCTCCTCTGGGACTACTTCTAACTTTCCAAACCCTTGAGCATTTTCAAGCAGCTGCCAGATGCTTTGTTTAAAAAACAAAACAAATAAAAACTGCCACAGAATTCAATCTTTCCCCATCCTAATTTCCTCACCACCTTCACCTACCACAAAAATATTTGCAATGGTACAATATTCAGTCATGGACCAATGAAAGTTTTAAGATCCAACACCTCTTTATACCATGGCAAAAATGAGAGATCCAGCTTTCCAACAATATGCACAATACCTGTTTCTAAACCCAGGAAGATCCAGAAGTATATAGACATTAAAACCCTCCAGACATCAAAATTAGCAGCACTATGTATATATAAAAAAGGGCATTTTAGGTATCTTTAGAGATTTCAAAAATGTATTTGTTTTCATTTTCCTCTCTCTCCAAGGCCTACATAGTTTGAATCATGATAATTAAAAGAGACCGACTGTTCAGTTGTGACACAAAAAGGACCACAAATAAAATAATTAGGACACACATTTCCAAAAACCATTTGTTAATATGTAACATATAGAGAATGCACAAATGTTTGGTATAAAGGTTTTATGGGCACTCATTTGCAATGATATACAAAACTCATGTATGCCTTTATCACTTGGTAGTAATGACGCATCCCAAACTCACTTGATAAAACCTCTAAACCACACCACCATGTAAAACACAATACATTTTTTAGTGTTTTGATATTTTGCTTGCTTTGTACAGTATGCTTAGTACACCAGATGGGTATAAAATGCTCAACATGTATCACTTTACCTTCACAGAATTAAAGACAGTTTGAAGTGAAGTGCACACAAAACTTCATAGCAACAAAGCCAAAAAATCTCTTGTATAATGACTATTAAAAGATAATTTTTAAAAATAATCAGCAGTAATCAAGTAAAAATTTGATCCGCTCTGCAGGTAGTTGTATTGTGAGAATGGTTATATTTTCCAATAATGTTTTCTCTGATTTTGTGTGTGCAGATAGTGTATTAAAGAAAAAATAAAATCCAACATTTCATTGTGTGGCATCAACTATAAAATGTGCATTTAGCCTTCCTACCTACCCTCACACGTCCCTTAAAAAAAAAAAAAAAAAAAAAAACACAGATATCCTTAGTAACCAGGTGAAATATAACAACCTGTGATATACAGGAGATCAGCCTAAACGATCTAATGGTCCCTTCCGGCCTTAAACTCTACGAAAGCAATGAAAAAAACCTTGTTCACATTTCCAAAACATTTCCTGTGTCTTGATCTCAGTTGTGCCCTTCAGTGAGAACTGCTCTCCCAATTCCTTGCCACCCTTCCCCTCCCCACCACAGATCTGTTTTTCAGGCATGAATTAATCTCTTTTATCTAAATCCCACCACGTTCCTTGGCGTAAACTGCCCACCAAGTCTTTCCTCCCACCTCACCCAAAGCGTAGTAAGCTCCCTCACCAAACGGGTGTGTGTTGTTAGCATTCTTAAGGTGCTTCAAGGGTCACACAGCAGTCCCCCACCACCACCACAACACTCCCCCCACCACACCACACCCCCCCCCCCCCCAACCCCCCCCCCCCCCCCCCTCCCTCCCTCCCCCCCCCCCCCCACACCCCTTCCTTCCTACCCCCCCTTTCCCCAGGCTGCCCCTCCCCCTTACACACCCCCTCTTTGTTCCCCCCACCCACCTCCGCTCCC